CTCTTCTTATGCCAGATTTGAGAAGCCTAGTGGACTCTGTAGCTGGTGCGTTTGCAGGTTAATTATAAAACAAGACAAAACGAATGAACAGAAAGTGTTTAATCGTATCCCACCCTGACCTTTCCTGACTGCATCACTAGCTGTTACAATGTAAGTTGTTACAACCCACTGGTTTCTGACTCTGTATGGGATTTGAGTACCTTTTTTGTTACTGTAATTTACATAATGGTACAATTAAGATAAATTGCTGTATGGTATGAATGAAGACAGCTGGAAAATTCTGTAAAATGTTGATATTGTCATCAGAGATGCTCAGTCCAGCAAAACTGTGTTATTATTTTACCTCATTAAAGCCCTTCCAGTAAGTAGTAAAACACGTGATTTCTCTGTAATCACTTTCATTCCAATGCGTAATTAAATTTCTGTCATTTTCTCTAGTAGGTCATGCTGTCCATTTCTGTCTCCTACAGAGCTTTAGCTGCTGAATAGTCTTACCCTTTATATTGTCCTCATGACAGAGAAGGTCCCCCAGTTATTTAAGTCTCTGATATTTAACCTAAACAATAAAGCTGAACCTACGTAGACCTAAAGTCTGATAATCTTCCAAAGTATATGATCAGCAAATTCTTGAAATGCCACACAAGTGACACAGTTCCCCATCTCCCCCACTGTGGGACTGCTTTGAATTCAGGCAAGTTCATTTCTTTGGGAGGCACAGTGCTGAAGATCTATCCACCGCAATTCCTGACTTGTTCTGCCAGTCAGTAAAAAAAACCACCTTTGCCTTTGCTTTTTTTTTTTTTCCCTCACTCTTTTTATGTTAAAACTGTACTGGGTGCAGATTTTAAAAACAAGACAGTATATGTTCTAACATTACTGCAACCTGGACTCTTAGCAGTATAGCAGTGTTCTGAAAGCAGTTGAACTGTGTGCATTGGTGTGTCTGAAAAAAAATTATACCTCGTATGCTTCCATAGGCTGATCTGTGTGTCATCGTTTCTGTGATCTCTAATATTGCAAGTTGATATCGTGGTTTTTATCTTTCTTTTTCTCAAGCTGAAGTGAGAAGGCAGTTTTGAACGAAGCCAAGTGTCATGATAGAGGACTGCTTTAACATTAGAGTAGAAATTATGACTAAAACAATGCCTAGAATCTTAGTGTCCAATTATCTGTGACGTTCCTCTATATGTGAAGCAAGGAACAATCCTGCAACCTGGCATTTGATGCATTAGGGAAAAAGCAAACCACCCTCTCTGCTTTCTAAAAGCGTATCTTTAGAACAAATCTGTTCAAAGGAACAGCACACAAGTAATCCAAGGAAGCATTTTGTCTAGTGCAATGCGGTGTATAGGTAAACAAAGAGGTTTGTGAACATGTGATGAGGACTTCTGAGTTTCCCGTTTCCGTATTCTCTTGAAGATAAATCTTGTGCTTCACTGTAAGGTGGTGCCTCATGGCCCTGAATAATCCTTTTTCTTGACACAAAACTAATGTTTCTGTGGTAATAGTTCTGTTGTGAGCTTAGGTGTTAAAAACCTGATACCTTTTCATATGAAGACCTTCAGAAAAAAAGTAACTCTTCTGGACAGGCCTTTGGAAACAACACTTCTGATTAGAAGCAGCTTTAAATTGCAGAGACATCCACAAAGCAATTGCAATTGGTGGAAGTTCAGAGTTTATGGGTGTGTGTTGTTGCTGTTGGTTTTGTTTCTGGTGTTTTGGTTTTTGTTGTTGTATTGTTTTGTTTTATACAAGTATTAAATCACTAATTCTTTAAATCCTTGCCTTCCAGAAAGGCAAGTATAATTACCTTGCTATTAAATATGGAGAAACATAGCCACAGGTATTAAATAAATTTCTAGTGGCTATAAGGAATGATAGTGGTAGAAGCTGCTGTAGAATTAGCTCTCAATCCTAATGCAGAAGAGTAGAGAGTGTTCAAAATGTGTTTTGGACTAAATTCGTTGCTTTTAGAATAAGCTGGCCAGACCCTGCTTAATCAGTGTTCTTGGTGAGGTGAAAATTACAGTCTGCTGTCTTAGGGTCTCGCAGACTGCCTATAAACATACGTCAGATGGAGCAGAACCACAAACAGGGTGTGAACTCAGAATGAAAAAAACCCAAGTAAACAGAGTCATCTATAGCATTATGTGATGCTTTATTTTCTTTTGACATGCTGGAAGAAAGAGGAGAAAATGTGTTCAAATCCAGAAAACTGTCAGTGAACTACTTTGGTATTATTATCATAGTACAATCCTCTCTCATTAACCCCTGGAACTTGTATCTGTCATGGAGGGAGGAAGGCCTCCCAGTTTTTCTCAGAACAGCTGGCCTTTGTGAGATGAGTAGGATTTTAAGGCTGAGACACTGCAGTCAGCTGAAGTTTTAAATTACGAATTAATGATGCTGATATTCAGAAGGATTTCAAAGCTTCCTGCTGCCCCCATGAGAAGGAAGGGGGAGATGTTACAGAGATATGAAAATTCATATCTTGTCTAGGAATTTCATCACTGTCTGTAGAAGAGAAAAGCCTATGCCCTTCCCAAAGAACTGACCCCCATGACTTCAGCTAAAGCAATGCCCCTTCAGTAAGATGTCGCAATATTTAATTTCTATAATTAAGTCCACTGAGGTGTAGGAATAAAAGATGTTATCTAAAGACAGCCTGGCATTTCTAGTTCATAATTGTTTTCATTTAAACAAAAGACTGACATAGTTTGACCATGCCCTAGTTCTCATAAAGAACTTTTGCTGGTCTCTGCTGCTTCTCACTATGTGACAGTGGTTATATTTAGGCAGATGTTGAGATGCTGGACTAGGCAGTAAATCATGGCAATTTTCCTGTTTTGGCACATTTTAATAAATGGCAACTCATTTGTAGCTTTTAATATGCTGTATCTTAAAAATAAATTAGTATTCTGGAGAACAATGGCATATAAGGCAAAGAAACAAGCATCATGAAATGAGTAGGAAAACTCATGAATAGGAACACACTTAACAGATAAAGCAGAATGCATCTCTACTGGTCTAGGTGCACTAAAGGTTGTATTTCAAAGGAAACTGATTTGTTGTTCCGAGGCCAATATTGGTTGGTTCATAAATTGATAGCAGACTGAAATAAACTCAACTTGATAATGTTTTAGGTGTTTAAAGTCTTCCTGTCAGGTTTACTTCTATACATTATCTTTTTCCTGTCTTAATTTAAAAGTCACTGCTAGGAAACCGAGATGGCAGCAGAAGCAATCACATTGTAGGTGTTTTAAATGTTAGATGGAAAACCATCAGGTTTCAGTTTTGCTACTGTCTTTTTAGTGCCTTTAAAAAAAACCAATCAGCTGAGTTCTGTAAAACTGGAGTTTTCATAATACTGCTAGAAATTCAAAGACAGCATCCTACCAAATATCTGGTTTGTGGGTTATAGTGGCCATCTGGTACTAATTTTTAAAGAACTACTATGTTTTGAAGGCCATGAAAAACTTAAATATTGTGTGCCAATGTCTTCTAATTCAGAGAATGACTGAGGTCGGAAGGGACCTGTGGAGATTTTATAGCCCAACTCCTCTGCTCAAAATCGGGTCATTTAGAACAGATTGCTTAGGGCAGTGTCCAGTCAGGTTTTGAATATCTCCAAGGATGGAGACTGCATAACTCGTCTGGGCAACTCATTCCAATGTTTGGCCACCCTCACAGTAAAAAAGGTCTTTCCTATATTTAAATGGAATTTCTTGTATTTCACTTTGTGCCCATTGCCTCTTGTCCTTTCACTGACTATCATGAAGAGGACTCTGGCTCTATCTTCTTGACTTCCTCACGTCAGGTATACACGCTGATAAGATTTCCCCCACATAGCCCAAGCCTTATATTCTCAAGCCCAAACAGTCCCATCTCTCTCAGGATCTTCTCATGTCAGGTGCTCCTGTCCCTTAATCATCTTTGTGTCCTTTTGCTGGTCTTGCTCCAGTGGGTCCATGTCTTTCTTATGCTAAGGGGCCCAGAACTGGACACAGCAGTGCAGATGTCATCTCACCAGTGCTGAGTAGGAGTGAATGATCACTTCCCTTGATCTACAGACACTCTTCCTAATGCAGTTCAGGATGTAGACCCACTCTGCAGCAAGGGCACATTGCTGGGTCCAGGTCAACTTGTCCACTAGGATCCTCAGGTCCTTTTCTGCAAAGCTGCTTTCCAGACAGTTGATCCCCAGACTGTACTGTTAAGTGAAGTATTCCTCCACAGGTGCAGGACTTGCATTTCAGTTGGTTGAACTTCATGAGATTCCTTTTGACCCATTTCTTCAGCCTGTTGAGGTCCTTCTGAATGGCAGCATAACCATCTGGTGTTTCAGCTACTCCCTCCAGTTTTGTATTGTCTCCAAGCTTTCTGAGAGTACACTCTGGCCCATCATCTAGGTCGTTAATAAAGACACTAAACAGGACTGGACCCAGTAGTGACCCCTTGGGGTATAGCACTAGTCACTGGCTTCCAGCTAGACTTTATGCTGCTGATCACAACCCTTTAAACCTGGCGGTTCACCCAGTTTTCAGTCCATCTCAATGTCCACTTATGTAGCCCTCACTTTCTCAGTTTCTTTATGACAATGTTATGAGAGACAGTGTTGAAAGTCCTACTAAAGTTGAGAGAAACAACATCCAGTGCTCTCCCTTCATCTACCAAGCCAGTCATCTCATCATACAAGGCTGTCAGGTTGGTTAGGCATGATTTTCCCTTTGTAAGTCCGTGCTGACTATCAGCAGTCACTTTCTTGTCCTTATGTTTGGAAACAAAGCACAATGGCCAGTAGAATACCCTTAGAGACAGCAAATGAGAGGTTAGATGTTTTTCTTCTTGCCTCCTCTTTATCTAGGAAATCATTGTTCCGGGATCTTATTGCAGAACCCGTAAGCTGAAGTGTGAGTAAGTGGACTTCAGTGTGTTTTTTGCAAAGCTTTGCTCATCTCCTCTGATGTAGATTTCTCCTAAGTGTTGTAAGAGACAGGAGTATGGAGAACATTCCTTTAATTTGTAAGGAAGAGATTGGTCTCATATCTAAATGTGACAATGAAGCTGACAACAGTGGTAATGAAATTTCGTCCTACAGCTGTTTCCTAGGTAACTAACACATGCAGCTGTAGAAAAGTCTACATTATGACCAGAAAGATCTGTAGGAATTCTCTTCAATGACTGCAGAAACATGGTGGTGGAGGGGAAAAGGGTGGATAGTGCTATATGATCATATTCTTTGTCCTCAAGGACAGAGAAGATGTTATCAGAGTGCAAGCTTTTTCATAGCCAGCTGTAGAAGTTGAACAGAATAGAGTAGAATAGAATAGAATAGAACAGAACATTTACAGTTGAAAGTGACCTACAACAGTCACATAGTCCAACTGTCTGACCACTTCAGGGCTGATCAAAAGTTAAAGTATATTATTAAGGACATTGTCCAAATGTCTCTTAAACACTGACAGATGAAGGGCGTCAAACAACCTCTCTAGAAAGCCTGTTGCAGTGTTTGCCCACCCTCTCTTCAAAGAAATGCTTCCTAAATTTTGCCTCCCAAGGCTAGACAGCGGACAGCCTCATGGTCTTAAAGCTGATACTGTGATTGTTCCACCACTTACAGTAGGTTGCTGTCCACCCACCCTGCCTAAGTCACAAGACTTTGGGTCAGTTTTGGTCATGCTCCAAAGTCAATGCAGAGTCGAGACTTTGATTGTTGTGTTTATAATGGGTTGTTGCATGCACGATCCTGTTGTGAAAAGGTATCTGTGCTGTCACTTCTTTTTTTTTCAGGTTACAAGGTTTTTTGAGCAGAAACTGTCTTTTGCTCTGTGGTGTGTTACTCCTGTTTTGCATCCTGGTAATGGAGCACTGCATTTACTTCTGGGAGTTTCCCAGGTAGTCACAGAGGTTTGTGGAAGAGCCAGATTCAGAAGGTCTTTGGAGAACTTTAAAGGCCTAGTTCACTTGCCTATAGATAGGTGTTTAGTGCCATTTAAGACAGAGCAGAGTATCCAAGCTAAGTGTATGGGATGAGCAGAGGTGATGCAGAACCTCTGCTGCTGCTCCTCCAGAAAGGCACAGATGACCAGCAGCAGCTGTACTGGTACTACACACCTGTGTATGAGGACCTGAATCCTGTTCTAAATGTTGCTGTTAAGAATAGAAGAGCCTCTAATATGCAGGGCTGCAAGAAACCTTGTCTATTGTTCTGTTTGTCCGCAGGATTTTCTGTGAACAGATCTTTCTGTCTTGAAACTAGAAACGTGCCTTGCCTTCATAGATGTCTGTAAAAGATGAGGCAGCCAAATATTTGTATGATCAACTATGTCTCTTTTTTTTCCCTTTCAGGTGAATTATATAGAGCCTCTTTAAGAAAACAAAGGTTCCCGGCACAAGGCAGTATTGAAATACACGAGGACAATGAGGTGAGATTGTTTCCAAAATCAATCTGTGCTGTTTTCCAAGGAGTAGACGTGTGGAAATACTCTCATGTTGCATTATGGAATTATAAACCCGTTTGGCAGCTTAATACGTCTTTCCCTTGTTCAGTAGGTGCACATGCAATCACTGAAAATCGTCGCAAGCTTTTTAGACATTGTATAATTAACTTAGGTGGAAATATGACCCAGTTCTCTGAAGAGAAATTCTTATGTCTACTTAGTACTTCGGTGGAAATGCAGGTTTTGTGAAGCAGATTCAGCAGCAGTCATTTATAGTAACAGAATTGCCTTTTTTTTTTAGAAGCAGCAAAGAATCTAAACAAGTTTTATTCCTTTCAGTTAACTGACTGAAGTTCTCTGCCCACACCTGGGACAGGCCACGGAAATGTCTGCTTTTCCATTTTTGAAGAATTCCAATCCTACAGCCCCCTGAAAATGATTACAGTCTTTGATTGACTTCAGATGTCCTTTTGATTACCCCTTGAGCCACATGTCTCAGTCATGGCCGAATTACTGCTGAGAGGCAAATTAATTTCATTCCCTTTGAGTCCTTCTGTGAAGGATGCCACTTAAATACAGCTGAGAGGCTTTTTGTAACAGTGACTTTAGCAATGTTTACCTGCTTGAATTTTTCCCTCTGTTTTGAAGCTTTCAGTTCCGCCAATCCATCAGCAGTGCTGCTTATTTACAAGCTGGAATTGGCTGCGGAAGGAGCCACTCTTCGCTTTTAAAGGGACTTAAATTTCTCTTCCGAATAACTGGAATGGGACCGTACGGAGAAGGAAATTGTAAATTAGAGCAAGGAAAAGTGTAACCTTAAAAATTGTCATAAGATCCAGTACTAAAGCAGATAAGAGGCAGGTCAGCACAATGCCTTAACAATGAATACTTTTACCAGATACTAAAAATCATAGGCTGAACAGAGATAGTGGCTTTATGGAACAAATTATAATTATCTTCTTTTCAATCATTTCTTTGTCACCATTATACAGGTGCTGAAGTTACGATTTCTTTGTCTCACCCATGTCAAGAACATTTCCACCCCTACCCCTCACTAAACTACAGCCTAAAATGTGTGTGTGTGTTTGCTTGTCAGCTTTTCTGATTAATGTTATTCTTGTTAAACTCAGAGCAATTCTTCTTGCTTTATGTTTACTGTTGAAGTGTGGCTTTCATTCCAGAACTTGAGTAAAGTGTCCAGAACATTGCCTGATTGTAAGTAAATCACACAATTTAGCAATTAACAACCCTCAAACAAATACAAGAAATATTACTGTTACTTTTATCGTGTGTTCGTATTTGGTCCAAAACTAGAAGTCTCCAGGAATCATGTGAGCCAAAGTGAAGAAGAAGATGGCAGTCAAGATTTAAAAACAAAAAATCGCCTAATCTTTTAATGTATTACTGAGTTGTTCTTTGAGTGCACATAACTCTCAAGGGGTAAAGAAAAAAGAAAACACGGAGCTGTGAAACATTCAGAATGTTTTTTCCAGTCTTAAGTGGATAACATCTTGTTTATTCTGCGGAGCACGCTGATTATTGTCTGTGTATGCACATATTCACATATTTGTAAACGTATTTATGAGATTTATGGATATCAGCGATGATACATTTTTGGCTCTTTCAGTAAATGTCTGTGTAAGTTAGCCCCATATTTCATTTTAATAAGAAGCTGCCAGTCTCAAAAGGCTGAGATAACTGTATTACAGTCGGCTTTTGCTGGATGTTTTCGTTGGCAGAGAAATGCGTCTCTTTAGAACCTGTGGTGATTTGAGTTAGAACCTTTCCAGTAAATGCAGCAGCCCCATTCACGATACCTAGACAGATGTTCGCTTAGGCTGTCTGTGGATGTTGGAATTCTTCTCTGGTCTCAATATATTTAAAATAGATTTCATGTACACAAAGCTGTTGTTGATCTGAAATCTACATCATCTGTGCTGCAAGGGTTTTCTGTCAGAGCATAGTGTGCTCTACCTGATTCAGACACACTTAGATTAAATGGAACACAAGGCACACACATACACACATACCACTCCACCCAGTGAAAGCAAATATCACAAAAAGGTCACAGTGAGGGTGGGTGGGAGAAAAAAGTCACTGCTAGCTGCTTGTGAACGTTGACACCAAGTATACCAACACTGTCCATAAAAATGCTTCCTCCCTTCTTACTCCGTTTTTCTCACAGGAAGGAGTTCAGCATCAGAACTGCAAAACTCATGTGCTAATTTTGATCCTACATGGGGGGAACATCTTAGACACTGGAGGTGGGGACCACAGCAGCAAGCTGGCAGACATCAACACCTTCAGTTCTGTGTTTGAGAAAGTGACCCGGGCCCATTTCCCTGCCGCTTTGGGCCACATATTAATCAGACTTGTTCCCTGCCCAGCAATCTGTACAGCTGCTTTCTCTCTTGTTTCCAAGTAAGTTGATTTGCATTTTCGAATGTTTGGCTTTGCAGCATGGTTTTGAATAGCTTTCTGTGACCGGTCTTTTTCATAATGAAATGTTGCGAAATCTTTTGCTTACTGCAAGACTTGAAATAATCTTTCAACCTTTTCTAAGTGGATGTATTTGTTTAAAAAAAAAAAAAAAAGCCGCAACCCCCACCAAAACAAAAATACCCCAAAACAAAACCAAAAAACAAACCCAAAACCTGTGGTGGACTACAGCCTATTGTCCACATGCATCAAAAATCCAAAAAAAAAAAAAAATCCAGAAGAAATCTAGACAGAAGAAGAAAACTGTGATAACTGTTAACTTTTCCTCCCTGCCTCAAATCTGACCCCAACAAATCAGTAGTCAACTTCTATCTTATTTTAAAATTGAAACATAGCTAGATGTGCTTGCGGATATGCCAACCGATGTTTGTCTGTCTTATTCATCTGATCATTATTTGGCCATTGCAGGGACAGGATGTTATAGAAAACCCTCCTGATAGTTTTAATATTTCCTGTTTTAGAAACAAAAATGACATATTGCTAGCATTGGTTTAGGAATAAAGTGGAGATTGTGAAGCATTGCTGAGAAACTTGGAACGTTTTAAGTAAATTCTGCTTTGCACTGGAAATTGAGAACACAAATAGCTAAACCGAGATGATTTAACACATCTTCTTGGTGAGAGACAATTTATATATGAACATGGTTTTTACATTTTAAGATGACCAAACTTTAGCATCTGTTCATTCCCAATAGCAGCTACTGCACTTCGAGGTCCTGTAGTGTTTTGTGGTAGACCACTCATTTATCATCATTAACCTGTAAGAATGCCATATACAGAAGTGTCTCGAATGGGCTACAAAGGATGCCTCTCTAGGAAACAGGGCTTTTGGCTAATGAAGGCTTCAGTTTGCGGTACAGCTAGGGTTTGGTTTGATGCATAGTGAGAGGGGTCCACTAGCTTTGATGGAATTTCCTGTCTGAACAGATCCATTTCCTAACTGATGTGAATGAAGATGGCACTCGCGAGGTTGCCCTTACTTACCCATGAGAGATGGGTGGTTTGCTTTAAGCAGTTTGGCAATTCACTTGCATAGAGGTAGATAGACTGGGGTTCAGGGCTTCTAGAGAGCGACTGGGAGAGAATGCTGTGCATTACAGTAGATGCTGGATCAGCTCTTCATTAATGAAGACCGTTAAGCAAGAATGCCTCAAACATCTTGTCATTGATAAAATTAGTAAATTTCTCAACTAGCATGACTCTGCAAACTTAAATTACACTGAGCTGTAGTGTGGTTATGCTACATGACATTCATATTTGCATTTTTAGCTGTCATATCCTTTTTCTGTCTGAGACCAGGTTCTGCTAGGAAACACTAGTTGCTATATGAAGCAGAGATCATGATTTCATTTTAGGAAGTTGCTTATTAACTGGAAAAAAAAAGTTTGGTGGGTTTGGGATTTGGGGACAGTTTTGGGGGTGTTGGGATTTTTTTAAGGAGGTTGTTTTTTGGGGGGCAGGTGAGAAAATTCTCACAAAAATGTTTTAGTACTGTCTCTTAGTGTCTGACTTAGAGAGAATTCATCAGATCACATTGGCATTAAGTCTAGTGGCTTTCTGAGATTCCTGGTAGTCTCTTCTGCATTTGAAAATTATTGTTGTGTAAAAAGCTGTGATAATATTTCAGTACAAAAACAAGTCACTATGAAAGACTAAATGCAACTTCTAGAGAAAGAGTAGTTGGTAACTGCATTTCAGAGACCTGCTTAGTCTAGTATTTCATAGAATCATAGAACCATTTAGGCTGGAAAACACCTTTAAGGTCATCGAGTCCAACCATTAACATGACACTGCCAAGTCCACCACTGAACCATGTCCCTAAGTGCCACATCTACACGTCTTTTAAATACCTCCACGGATGGTGACTCCACCACTTCTGCACTCAAAGCAAGAACATAACTCGGAACTGTTAACTGTGCATCAGCAATGATACATGTTGAAGTTCCTGGGTGCATACTCACATGAAAGGTATCGTCGCCTTGCAAAACTATTTCTACTATTAATTTTAACAGTTGTTATGTGTACGGCAGTAATGATTTCAGATATGCACTCTTTTTGACAATGCTGTGAGATGTGAAAAATGATACGTAGCAACCCCTTTGGGAGAGGAAATATGACTCTAGTTATAGTGTCCATGTGGGGATCAGGAGATACTGGTGCTATTCCTGGGTCTGTAACAATTTTCTTGGTTGACCATAAATGAGAAAATCAGTCTGTCGGTGCCTCATTTCTCAAATTTATTGAACAGAAACAAGGCTAAAATGATATAAGGAGGGATTTTTCTGTTATTAACCGAAGGCCTAACATAAAGCCTGAGAAAGAAACAGGAAGATTTCTGCTTTCTGGATTCTGCCTCTAGCCTAGGATATATGAGAAAAGCTTAAGGGATGTAGGAATAAGAGAGTACTGTGATTAAGGTGTGTCCCTGAAAGCTGGAAAGGAAACAGCTATGCTGAGGCTTTACTCTGACAGCTGGTACCTTGTTAAGCATGAGAGCAGATGATTTGTGAGGGAAGGAATGTGATCTGGGTGTTTCTTTGTCGCATTGCTAACACCAAGGAACATTTGACACTTTCATTCCAGGCCTGTTAAATGGCCAGGTAGCCTTACAAGGTTCATGCAGAAACAAGGACCATAGCAGCAATAGTGTAACCAACCGCATTTTACTTTTTTTTTCCTCCACTGAGACAACTTTTCCATGCAGCACTAAATGAGTGAAAGTTTTAGCAGGTGGTGAGGAAACTTTCCACTGAGTGCTCTATGATTGGTTTCCACATCATGGTAACGATAATTGATTATAGTCTATCAATTCTGGTACTGTAGTTCTGGTTGCACTCTAGTTCTGGTACTAGCCTAAGCAGTATTCTAGAGGATACCTGAGCAGACACAGAATATTCAGTAAGGGAAAGGATTAAAATCTTTTTGATGTTGTTATTTGTCCCTGTGGCTCTAGTGAAATGAATTTAGAAATAACAAATGGAATTTTCCATTGGATGTATCCACATCAGTAGTGCGTTTCCTCACCTACTTTTTCAGTCTTGAAATTCACTCATTAAATGAGAGAACGTTTTCTGGTAACATTTCTTCCCTTAGTGATATTTTCCTTGACATAAATATTTAAATAGCATGATGGAGAAAGGAGAAGGAAACACATGCTCTTGGGCCTGCTTCAACTCTTCTACAAGTGTAAACCAGGAATAGATAGTGAACTCTGTAGCGATGGGGAGGAGAGAATCAGATCTGCTTGATTTCTTCTATTTGAAGCAAAGAGAAACTTCTCTTTGTTTTGTCTGGAGTTCCCCTAAGTGATGGTCACTTTTACAGTCTTTTTCTTGCAGTATAGTACCCAAGGTTGCGCTTGAACCTCACACAAAGCAGAAAACCCTGCAGAAGAGTTGAGGAGGTCTGCAACCACATTTTAGACCATAAGATGCGGGAATGGTGATGCCTGCTGTCCAGGTGACAGAGTTAGAGGGGAGAGATTAAAGTTCTGAAATACTAGCTAGACTTAAAGCTGTGGCAGGCGTGTAGGAAGAAGAGATGGCAGGGTGCAGACCAGGGTCGTGGAAGGTGTGCCTGCCTGCATCAAGGGGGAATACACTGAAACAACCAGGAAAGAAGGGTGTGTCTGTCCAAGTCACTGCCCTGTAAAGCAAGAAGACAGATAGTAGAAGAGGAGGTGAAGCATCAGTGTTTGGGAGATCATCTTTGCCAATTTGGGACATTGATTAACACAGGGCTGAGTAGTGTCTCTTAGGTATCCCATAATGAGTGCCTGCAAGTCTCAACTATCTGGAAGAAAGGCTGGTAGAGTGGAAGGAAGAGTGTGTGCTGGCAGCCCAAATGAACAGAGCTCCCACTCTCTTTCTCTGTTCTTTGATTCCTGCTTGTTGCAGCACACGATATTCAGCCAGACTGAAAACAGCCAAGCTAGATGGTTGAATGTCCTGTAGAATCATTCCCAACACTGACGTATGATTGGTATTGCCTTGCGTGGAGCTGCTTGTGATGTACCCATTTGGGTCTCACAAAAGGAGATGTGATTCCTTGCCCTTACATTTCTGCAGCTTCATGCCAGCAGCTTTCATAGCCGGAACTCCAGGATGCAGTTGTGGAACATAAACTTGTGGTAAACATTGCATTTAGCAAACTGTGAGGGAGGAAGTGTGTTTTTATAATTACTGTAATGTTTCATCGAGGGTGAGCCAGGTGACTGGCTAAGCAGCAGCACAAGATTTCTTGTTTGGTTTGAATGTATCCTCCATTTTCTGAATGGGCAGGCATAGTGCATGCCTAGTACACCCTTCTGTTTACCTCGGCATAGGTTTTGAGTTATGCTGTATCTGTGTGCTGAGTGCCTGGGTTCAGACGGATTCCACTAGGGCTTTTCATCTGAATGCACCTATGCAGTTCTCCTCCCTGCCTTGCAAATAGTAGCATAAAGGAAAGGGATCTTTCAGGGTAAAATCACTCCATCTAGTGAATGTTTCAGATTGCTTAATCTGGTCTGCTCCCATCTACTCCTGTCACTTTCAGTTTCCTGTATCTCTCATATAAATCAGAAAGACACTGTTTATGCAACCTATGTAACTTTATAATACATGACTGATCTCCTGTGACACCAACCTCCATCTTTACTGCTAAGGACAGATAAGAGTTAAAACTAAGGCACATTCTTATTTCGGCTAGATGACTTGAGAGCCTTCTCTTCCCTTTCCAGGGAGAAAAATGTCCCAGAGTGGATCAACTGTTAGGCTTCTTATACCATATGATTTGGTGAGCGTACATTTGTTCACACCTCAGACCAGAGCTCCTAAATTACAGTATTAGCCAAACTAGAGAAGAATAATTGCAATTTTGGGGGTGGGGTGTTTGGAGGGAAGGAAGAAGGAAAAAAAGGCCAAAACAAAAGTTACATTTAGGAAGCAAACACTTAAGTAGGAAAGCAAGCATATGAATAATCAAATGAGATGAAAGTGTTTTGTTGGATGATCTTTGGAGTGCTGAGCCCCTTGCATGCTGCTTGCATAGGGGTGGTTCCTGCAAGGTAAGCTCTTGGTGTTGCGTTTTCCTAATCAGTTTTTAAAAATACTTTCATAATTTAATCAGGAAGTCCAGTCATTAAGATTTGAGTATTTTCTATTGCTTGGTTTTGTTTTATCCTGAAAGTGGAGGAAGTAAATGCGTATTCTGGCCTTCAGAAACAGAAATAGCAAGTCCCTAGGACTGTCAGCATGGAGTGCAGATAGCCAAACCATGAATGTGAAAACACTGTTGTGCGACAGTTATCCAAACAAGTGTTACCGTATGGGTGATTTCCCCCTCTGCTTTCTCCTCTCAACTCTGACATGGTCAGGGACTGCTGACCCAAGGAAGTTTTGAGGATGGACCAGTGTTCTGTCGTGATCTGCATCTAGCCAGATGCTTTCTGCATTCAGAGTAAGCTTTTATTCCCTTCTTCCTCCTTTCTTCCCCACTCCGGGTTGAATAACCCCTCGCCACCCATCTCCGTGGTGCAGTCTTGGTTATCCCTGCTGGTAGATGCCGCTGTGCCATCAATCACTTCTCCCCTGGGAGCCAGGTGTACTCTTACCCACCAAGGAAGACCAGTTCTGTCTTGCAGCCTGATCATTTACTGGCTTTTATCAGGGAAGTATTAGATCCTAACACTGGTGACTTTATCTGTCAAGCTCTTACACTTAGTGATTTCAGCTGCTTCCTTGTGATTTCCCTTTCCATCTCCAGCCTTTGTGCAATGTTTCCCGGCTGGTGCTTTAGAAGGATCCTCCTGCAGTGTCCTGCCAGTGCATCAACATAACAAGACTTGTGCTCCTCTCATCTCCAGCGCTGATATTTTACCTGTTTTGTCTCAGCTTCAGCACTAATACTTAGCATGTC